AGTGGTTAAGTGCTTGCCTGGTAACCAAAAGGTCAGTGGTTTGAAACCACCTGCTACTCTGAGGGAGAAAGATGAAGCATTCTGCTTCTATAAAGATGAGAGCCCTTGTGGATTAAGTGCTAATAAAATGGGATATATATATATATCCCATTTTATTAGCACTTTATATATATATAAGCACTATATATATATATAAGCACTATATATATATATCATGAAAGTCTTGGAATCCTTATGGGGCAATTCTACACTGTACTACATGGCTACTGGGATTCTACTGTGTGCTGTGTGCTGTAGGATCACTAATTGAAGGAAATGTATTTGGCTTTACTTATTACACAAATAATAAAGGATTACCCTTCAGAAGGGAGGCCAGAGGCCATCTTATTACTGGCACTGCTGGTAAGAACAGTCAGAGACATGGGCTCTGCAGCGCTACCTCTTCCTGTGTCTTCTCTGCACCTTTGGGATGTGCTGTTGTTGTGCTTAGGCGCCATCCAGTCGGCTCCGACCTAAAGTGACCCCATGCACAACAGAAGGAAACACTGCACCATCCTGCACCCTCCTCACAGTGTAAGGATGAATGGCAATGGGAGGGACATTCTGGAATGGTATCAGTGGCGGCAGCATCTCACTGCCCTCTGAAGGTAAGGTTCTGATGAAGTGCCCTTGAAATCCCTAACCTCCTCTCTTCCAGTCCTTCCAATGATTGTACAAGCACCAAAGTCAGTACAAGTACTGACTCCTGTGTCAGTCAGGGTTCTGATAAGAAGCAGATGGCACTTGGAAAGTGTGGAAGCCAGCCCACATCCAGATGGTTCCTAAGGGAGGGTTGTGTAATGGGAGGGAAGAAATTAACAGGCAGACAAAAGTTCTGGGGTGCCCACCTACTCCATGATGCCAGGTCTGAGCAGGAGAAAGACAATTTATATTGTCTTGGGGCATGCAAGCCCCTAATTACAGGTAACCACATATGTAACAAATTGGGCAGTATCATAACCCTAGAGTTCATTAGGGGAGTAACCTAACACCAGTGCTGGGAGCAGGTAAGGGGGAGTGACTGTCCCGAGTGGGAAGAATAATAGCAATATGTCTGATCCTATAGATCAGTGGTTCTTAACCTTCCGAAGGCCACGACCCTTTAATACAGTTCCTCATGTTGTGATGACCCCCAAACCATAAAATTTTCGTTATTTTGCTACAGTTATGAATCTGGTGACACCTGTGGAAGGGTCATTCGACCCCCAAAGGGTTGTGACCCACAGATTGAGAACCACTGCTATAGATAAAGCTGCCAGCCAGGTAGTGTGCTTATAAGAGGTAACTTTAAGATAGCACTGTTTGCGAGGATATTGTAGGGATGATTTTTAATTAGGAGAATGTGACTGGGACTCATCTCCAACTCACAAATGTGAATGCCTCCCTGGACCCAGGATCCTGACCTCCCAGGCTTTTAAATTATGAGAATAAAGAATTTGTGCACATACACACTCTTCCGGGTCCTCAGTTTCCCACAGAAATGTGTGTCACTAATAGGAGGGCATTTTAATAAAGGTTCTAGTGGGAGGGACGGGGGAAAAGGAGCTGAGGGTTCTTAGGGAAGAGGGTGGGGGAGCTGATACCAAAAATGCAAGAAGAAGGAAAATATTTTTTAAATGATGGTGGCAACAAATGCTTGATCTAATGGAACTATGGATTGTATTATTATCTGTAGGAGCTCCCAATAACATGGAAAAAACAAACAAACAACAACAAAAAGAGGAGCTGGTACCAAGGGCTCAAGCAGAAAGAAAATGTTTTGAAAATGATGATGGCAACATATATACAAATGTGTTTGATACAACTGATGTATGGACTGTTGTAAGAGCTGTAAGCACCCCCAGTAAAATTATTTATTAATAAAAAAAGAAAATGTTTTGGAAATGTTGATGGCAGCATATGTACAAGTGTGCTTAATACAACTGAATGATGGATTGTTACAAGATTTGTAAGAGCCTCCCAACAAAATGATTATTAAAAATAAAAGTACTATTGCAAAACAGATAAGGGGATGTTGCCAGATAGAAGGAAACCATGGGTAAACAAGCAGCCATATAGCTCAGAAGCAACAAAGCCCACATGGAAGAATCACACCAGCCTGTGTGATCACGAGGTGTCGAAGGGATCAGGTATCAGGCATTATCAGAACAAAAAATCTTATCATAGTGAATGAGGGGGGGAGTGCGGAGTGGAGACCCAAAGCCCATGTGTAGGCCACTGGACATCCCCTTACAGAAAGGTCTTGGGGAGGAGACAACCAGTCAGAGTGCAGTGTAGCAACGATGAAACATACAACTTTCCTCTGGTTCCTAAATGCTTCTTCCTCTCCCACTATCATGATCCCAATTCTACCTTACAAATCTGGCTAGACCAGAGGATGTATGTACACTGGTACAGATAGGAACTGGAAACACAGGGAATCCAGGGCGGATGATCCCTACAGGACCAGTGGTGTGAGTGGTGATACTGGGAGCATAGAGGGAGAGTGGGTTGGAAAGGGGGAACCGATTACAAGGATCTACATGTGACCTCCTCCCTGGGGGACAGACAACAGAAAAGTGGGTGAAGGGAAATGTCGGACAGGGCAAGATATGACAAAATAATAATTTATAAATAATCAAAGGTTCAAGAGGGAGGGGGGAGCAGGGAGGGAGGGGAAAAATGAGGACTTGATGCTGGGGGCTTAAGTGGAGAGCAAATGTTTTGAGAATGATGAGGGCAATGAATGTACAAATGTGCTTTACACAATTGATGTATGTATGTATGTATAAGAGAGTTTTAAGATCCCCTAATAAAATGATTTTAAATAAAAGAATCGTATGAGCCCCCAATAAAATGATTAAAAAACAAAACAAAAAAGAAGGAAGCCATGAAGGCTAGTGTAACATGTGGGGTTAAGGACCAGGGTGCTGGACCTGAGGAGAAGGGGTGGGGTGGGGGGGGGGGGTTTACCAGAATGCTAGGGAGAAAGCAGGCACAGAGAGGGCCAGATGAGAGAACTGTGACCTTTAGTCAAGCACCATGATGGTGCCCTACAGGAAGGGAAAAAAGTGATGCACAGGGTAGAGCTGCCCCTGTATGTTTCCAAACGCTAACTCTTTCCGGTAGCAGAAAGCCTCCTCTTTCGAACTCAGAGCAGCTGGTGGTTGGAATTGCTGACCTTGTGACTAGCAGCTGAACCCATGTCCCACTCTGCCACCAGAGCTCCTAGGACGGAAGTCAGGGAAATAACTATTTCCATCTCACGTTCCTTCCTCTTGGGACTGGCTAGATTTAGCAAATATAAACGTAAGACTTCCAGTTTGATATGAATTTCAAATCAACCATGTTTTAGTATAAGTATGTCCCATACTTTGCATGGATATATTTATGCTAAAAATTATTAGTGGCTTACCTGAAATTCAAATAGAACTGGGCATCTATATTTTGAGCATCCTGTCTGATAACCCTCTTCCTCCAATCTCCTTCCAACCTCAACTGGAAGCTAGAGGGCAGCAGAGCCTGTTGGTGCTCCACAGAATTTCTCCTCTCCAGAACGTGGACGAGAAAGAAAAGATGGAGCAGGATTGTTGGAGATCAGATAGAAGATATGCAGCACTATTCAGATCTATGAATACCGATCTTATATCAAACAATAAATCGTTCTATTGTGGTCATTATTGTTAGGTGCTATGGGTTCCAACTCTTAGTGACCCTGAGCGTAACAATGAAACTGCCTGGCCTCGTGTCATGCTTACAATTGTCATGTTCGCGCCCATCTTTGCTGCCACTATGTCAATCCATCTGGTTGAAGGTCTTCCAGTCCCCCCACCCCACCCCACCCTTCCACTTTACCAAGCGTGATGTCCTTCTCCAGGGACTGGTCTCTTCTGATAGTGTGTCCAAAGTACATGAAATGGCTTTATTAAGTTAAGGAACTTCTTTCTGTGACCAGTTGATTTTTTAAAAGTTATTCATGCCTACGGGTAATTTCATTAAAAACTTCTCACTTGATTGAAAGGCTTAGAAGGTTTTTCCTCTTAAGTTCATTGAATTTATTAAATGAGCCAAGCATCCATCTAACCACCTGGGATACATTAATAAACAGAGAAGATAAAAATCCCTGCCTTCAAAGACGTTTACATTCTAGTAGAGAAACTGCATTTTGTTCTACGAGCTATGAAAAGTCATTGGTGTGTAGCGAGTAAGCCGACCCACTCATTATTTTGGTGTCTATTTCAACTCATAGTGACTATGAGATTACAAAATTTGATTTCTTTTTTTAATATATTGCTCAGGCTGGTCTGTATAGAACTATTTGTGAGGCAGTCAGAATAGAAACAAAGAGATCAATCAGAAGACTGGTGCAATCAGTCAGGTGAGAAACAAAAACAGGTCGACCTAAAGGACTAGCAGTGTTATCGAAGCACAGTAGCTATATTGAGGACTTCAGTGGGGAGAGAACAAAGCCCTTCAAAATATACTGTTAAGGGGCTTAAAAATAAAATTGTAGAGCAATACAAAGAATATGAAACTAAATATTTCTTAATAGTAACACTCATTTATGTACACAAGTATATAAAAACAAGATCTCGTGCTCTCAAAATAAATATACAATCTGATATCATAAGTACAGAGGAAGGAAAATGTTCAAAGGGTACTTTAGCTTTTTGGATAAATGTTTTTATTTTTTATTTGTTTTAATAATTTTATTGGGGGCTCATAAAACTCTTATCACAATCCATACATACATCAATTGTGTAAAGCACATTTGTACATCTGTTGCACTCATTAGTCTCAAAACATTTGTTCTCCACTTAAGTCTCTGGCATCAGCTCCTCATTTTTCCCCTTCCCTCCCCACTCACGCCTCCCTCTTTTTATTTTTATTTATTTATTTTTTCAAAGCTCCTCAGAGGGACAAGTCACCGTTTATTTACAGCTACGAAAGGTTGGGGACTCCTCTCTGTTTGGCAAGTAAATTTCCATTTTATGTGGAGGAAAGGAAAGCCATGTTTCTGGAAGGCACTATCTGGTGTAAATGTGCAAGTTACCGCAGAGGGAAAACATGCGCAGAGGGCAGTCGAGAAACCCGTGTGGTTGGTGCGCTCTGCACCCTTGCTCTTCCTGGGGGGCCGCAGATTACTGCAGAGGTGGTCCCATCAGTCACCAGCTGCCCACACGGCTCCCACGCTCAGTCTACGGTGTTGCAGATGTCCGTCACCTTCTGGTTGAAGTCTTCTGGCTGGTCTGCATACACGTAGTGCCCCGCTCCAAGGATGGCTATGGTCTTCACGTATGAGTGTGGTCGCAGGGACTGGATGCTGCTGCCGGAGTTGCCATCTATGCAGGACCGGGCGCCATAGATGACTGAGACCGGGATGTCAGCGTGCATTTTACCGATTCGCAGGAGCATTGGCCTTTTTGCCCATCCGTAAGGAATCGTCATATTTTTGAAAGCTGTTTCACCACTTGGAGTCTGGACATTGCAGTGGTAGATGTACTCGGTCACAGTTTCATCTTCAAACATGGATAAATACTTCCTCTTGAAATCGGGTCTTAAACGTTACACTAAACTTAAGCCAAAGGGTCCTGCGATTCTGAGGCCACCTAAAGGGTTAAAAGGAGTCAGCACAGCGCCCAAGGCTCTGATCCACACCGGGATGGGTCTGTCTTGGTCAGCAAGGTCAGGTCTCTCAGGAAAACCCCCAGGCTCCACTAAAATGAGATGATTAACCCTTGATGGATACTTTAGTGCGTAAGCAGCAGCCAAGAATCCACCCAGGTTGTGTCCAAGCAAGATTAACTTGTCCAATCCTAGGGCATATCTCTACTCTTCAATGGATTCTACAAACTGGTTCTCCACTTCTTCTGCATCACTGTCAAACCAGGGTCTACTACTTCGTCCAAAGCCCAGCAGGTCAAATGCATAAACAGGCCGATTAGTGGAAAGATCCTCAAAATTTAGCACCCAGAGTCCAAGCCCTCCTCCAAAACCATGGAGGAGGACAAGTGGTGTCTTGTTTGGAATATTATAAGAGAATTTCGAGAAGAAGGCTGACTGGGGAGAAGTTGGCAGTTTTTCCAATCCTTGCAGGTTATCTCTGCACAGTTTGGGATTGTCATCTTTACAATTCAGCAGAGTATTATAAATTGCCGGGACTTCCAGGAAGATGGCGACGGAGTGACATGTACCAGAGGGACTCCGCAGAATCCAGCCCAGGAGAGCTGCTTAGAGGGAACTTTAACAC